GCTAGCCCCTTTGGCGTGCGCTTCGTTCTCCAACTTCTGTTGGAACTTCATCCCCATCATTGCGAACAGATCCAAAGAAGCCCCACATCTCAGCAGTCCGTGAAATGCTTCTGGCTGGGAACTGCTGCGGAGACTTTCGCACTTCGGTTTGGCGAGATAGATTTGAAGTACAGCTTCTCATCTTGATTGCAGCCCCAGCTCTTCCCGTCCGGTGGGCCAGATGTCGCCAAAGAAAAGAAGTGTGGTGGTACAGCAAATTTATTAAAGGTCCTTATCTGGCAGATAAACTGCAGATGTCAGTGGTTGCAGTGTGCAAGCTGCATCCTGCAAGCAAATGCAAAGCCCAGCTACAGCCCCTGAATCTAAGCTTGACCAGAATCCGACGATCAATTGAGCATCTGTGAGGGCGGAATTTCTATCAGAGTAGAAGACGATGCGAAGCCGTGCAGAAGCATTTCCTTTATGCATAGTGGTTGCAGCGTTGCTCGCTTTTTGTCGCTTCAATTGTCGCCATTTGCGGGAGTAATGATTGATGGTTGGGTCATGTGGGGGGTAGCATCGGATTCTGTTGGGCAAGCAAACTGCTTCTGTGGAAGGGAAGAGGACCATGAGAAGCCTTCACGATTCTTTTCTGTTGATGCTGTAGCCCTTAGGCAGCCGTGTTGCTAAAGAAGGGTAGCAAATCGGAGAGAAGGAGGAAAGAAAGTTCAGTCGCTTCTGGCTAACCACCAAACCAAAGGTTGCCACTCCGTTAGAATCACCTCTGTAGCTACCTCGGCAGTAACATGTTGATGATTGCATTTTCGGATGGCATCTTTGTTTTCCTCTTGCATACTAGCTAGCACCAGCCAGCTAGTCGCTCCGTAAGCTTCGGTGTCGCTGCCTCGCCAAGGGCAAAGATCTGCAACGGTGATCTTGCTCGTTCCGTTTCCTCCTCCGTTCAAGATCTTTTCTTGACAAAACGAATGTCGGCGGCAGCAATATGTTGTGCTTTTGCATCTTGAATCAATCAATCCCGGCACAACCTCCACTCGAGCACAGAATAGCTGCTGCAAAAACTCGTACAGCTCATAATCTTGTGTGAATTGTAGGCTTGGACCAGGCCCTCCTTTGCGCTGGACAAATAATGTTTTCGCCTTTTAAAAGATGGAATGCGCCTTGTTGCTGTTGACCAAAAGACCGTCATCCGCAACCGTCCTTCGGGTTGGGGTCAGCAAGGAAAAGGGCGGGGTTTCATAGTAAGAGCCTTGGCAGCACGGGTAGCTCCACAATTTCAAACCAAGCTGCCCCCAATATCACCGCTGGATGATGAGGCAGAGAGTCAAAGAAGGTGAAAGCAAGCAAGCTCACGGAACCTGACAATGATGGGTTCGATGCCCTCAAAGGAGGGATAGTGACCGCTGCACCTCGTTACGCCAGGACACATCAAATAAATCATCTTGAGGACAGGATCCTTTTGGATTACCAGGATAAGCACAACATGGATACGGTATCCATTGGGACGACAGCCCGCCAAGGCTCTAGAGTTGACGGAAAGCGCCGGCGAGCCAGCTTTGGAAATCCGAAAAGTTGAGGACACTTCCTGGCTCATTTGGGTGATCGGGTTGATTGGGATGTTCCAACAGGCTGTCAAACCCATTGTCACAAATTTGATGGTTTGCGTGTTGGACTTGAGTCGATCCACAATGTCAAAGCTACCATTGCCTCCATCTCTGTGTTGGCTTTCTCTTCTTTTGCTTCCCGCTGTTTTGATGAATAGATTCTTGTTTTGTGACTGAGAAGAGTACCAGGTACTTGTAATTGACGCGAATTTTCTGCAGCGCTGTCTTGTGACCTATAGTCTTCAACAAATCGTCTTGCAGCCTCTTTTCCCTGGTCACTGCTTCCAGTGGCTTGCCATTCGTCTTGGAACAAGATACTCTTCGGTTGTAGCAGCTCTTCTTGAGGGTTTGGTGCTGCTGCCACCATGGCATCTTTTTACTGCGACCGAAGACACCGGCGAATCATCGCCTCGTGGTTTCTCAAACCTCAGCCACTGGGAGCAGACAAATCGAATCCACAGAGTGCCATCATGACCAATAGCATGGCTTTCACAAGCGATCTTTTGGTAGGCTTGATGACCGACTGTTTCTCCTTGTTTGGATCCATCAGAACAACAAACCCTTCATACTCCTGCTCTCCCACACCAATCAATGTAGAATGACATGACTTCTCTGCCCAAAGTGATGTTCATGGTCAAACATACATCTTGGTTCGTACCAGGTAGTCCTTGTGGCAGTCCAGGGTATGTGGATGCTCCACTTTGACGGTTCCAGATCTGCGTTAGCCACTGCCACCACCAACGTAATAATAATTCATATGCCCCCTTGGGTCGTCTCCGTTTCCATAAATCTTTTATTACCAACACCTGAAACAGTATTCGCGCGCTCCGCGCGCTCATCCCTTTCTTTTTGCTTCGCTCCGAAACCGAAACCGAAACCACTTCCTCGCTCGAGCTCATTCAGATCCCTCATTCATGCGAAAAATGTGAAGAACGCAAGGCGACTTTCATGTGCATGTACATGCGTTGACTGTATCCCGTCAATACAATACTAGTCAAATACGTAGACTTCTACAGAGGCCTCTAAGTAATGCACGCGGGGTATAATTCAAACCTCCACTCCCCATCGGTACCCTTACCCCTAAAAGCAAATCGTCTCCCGGAGACGAAATAATAATGTTGATATTAGACTGTAGATAGGGAGCTACTAGTAGTTAGGTACCGTATTTCGTGCGACGATGGCAAAATGGCTCCATGTGGTTGATACATGAGTCGAGTCTGTGGTACAGACGTTGAGTGCAAGTTTGTTTGGTGAGGCCATCGGGCAGGATAGCGGCAGGTCGACGCAAGAGATGGTGTACCGGTACGAATGAGAGGAACCGTCGGCAGTTTTGCTGGAAACGTCGGGCTTCTAGCTAGCAAAGCTACCGGTACCGGTAGAGTACGAATGATTCAATCATTCCAGTGCATGTTCACCTGATTCTTGTGTTGTCGCTAGCTAGATACATGTAGGTTTCATACCGAAGTACATTTAGTGGCATTGTTGAAGTGATCCGCGATCGCGTCCGCTGATTGTAATGTTGATGCGAGGAAACTGAATTCCTCCTCAATCCTCAAACCAATGTTGCAACCTTTACTCGCCACCTACCATACAGTACAAGCAAATCGATCGCCAGCCAAACCAAGCCAAGCCAACGTTATGTGTCAATCAGCAGCCTCTTGTCCGGGCCATCGTATTGGAGAAAGCATTGTAAGGACACTCGAGTCCCTTGCTGAAACCCTACTGCGGCATGGGGCCGTTGCGTACATATCAACACCAAATCACCTGGTTCTACATCCACTGACTTGGGTTCTCCCATTTTGGCACGAAGCATCACCTGCATTTCAGGATCTTGAGAGGAAAGGCCCGACAAGAGAAGTGCGTTCTGTTGAACAAGAAAGTTGGAATGTTGGAATCAAAGGCATGAGCTTCCAAATAAACTGAAGAAAGATGACTGCAATGCACCAAAAATGGTTGCTTTTTGCATTTGCTGACTGAACTCACCCGGTACCAATCCCATCGATTTCGAATCCCCAGAGGCCAAATTTCCAGAGCCCGTTGCTTTCGGTCGCTGCTATCACTGGGTAGCTGGAGGTAAATGTTGGCACTAAAAAGACCTTGATGTGGATTGAGTGGCCCCATTTCATCGACATGAACAAATCCTTTTCTCCATCGCGTGGGACCCATCATGACTCTGGGGAGACCACCTCCAAAGGGACGCTTTTGTCCCTGACTCTCTCGTGCCAGACCGGCCCCTTGCGTCCAAGCTTCATCCAGTTCCAACCGCAAATGATCGAGTGGCCAAAGCGTGGGCATTACAGACGAATGTTTCCGCCGTCGTTGCTGAAATTCTCGACGGACCCCGTCAAAGTAGGCTTCCGTGTCGTTGGATGCAGTGGCGACATTGTAAGGGACGTGTTCGCCCATAGTCGTGACATCGCTGCTTTCCAATCCTCTGGATGTGGAGACTTTCCAATTCATGCCGTTTCCTCGCTGCGCTTCTTTGGCCAAACTTTTTCCGAATGCCGCTGCCGCCTCTGTGGGATAGAATTGGGGGATATGAATCGCCGTGGCGTCATGCCGAAACAACCGAGACAGATCGGTTGGTTGTAAGGAATCGGCCGTGATCACTTCGGCCGCCGATCCAGTGTCCATGGGCAATCCACCATAGCGTGCTTCGATCCATCCAAATAGTTGCCGTAATGCAGCAGATGATTCTGCCGAGGTCGTCGTTCGAGGAATAGAGGCTTTCATGGTTGGTTGGTTTGTGTATATGGAGCAGGACGAAATAGATACCGGTACCAGGTCCGGTACATCGTAACCGAGACCTCGTTGCGAAGTGGGTCAACAAAGATTAAGCCAGTGTAGATGTAAAACACTGTGTGTGTGAGGGCAAAATTCACCAAGGTCATTCTCGACATTTCTGGGAAATAGCTTGTTAAATAAAGCTGGTCTTGGAATGGAAGCCTAGTCGTTGAGTCAACCAGGTCATAAGTAAAATATCAGGCACAAAAGGACAGCAAACCAACGGCGCAACCGAACAAAACACACAAACACCACCAGAATTAGAGCGGCTCCCAAGCTTTGCACAAATAAATACTCAACGAACACAAGTAAGTGCACGACTGTTGTGTCAACTATCAAGCAAGCGAAGCAACCCCCACCACCAAAGCAAACCACTACTAGTAGTTAGAACAAAGCAAAGCACAGCAAAGCAACCATGGGCCCTCCTCTGAATTTCTTCATGACGCGTCTCCTGTTTATGGAGAAGAGCAAGGTGAACAGTTTAAAGGCCAAGTCGGACAAGGCGAGTGTCGAGATTGTGGTGGACAATCCGAGGATACTTCCGGAGGCCAAGGCCAAATCGTTGCCTCCCATTCCGTTTCCTCCCGCTGCTCCTGACTCTCCTGTCGCCGTGGAAGGCTGGAAGGGGGTCAAAGTGGGCGGATGGATTAGTGGATTTGGCGGCAGCAACAGCAAGCTCAATCTTCCGGCTGTCTACGATGATGACATGCCCGCTGCCATTGACGCCTTTGACGACATGAAGGTAATAATGGACGATGATAATACGGAAATGACGGAAGAATCCAATTCGACGACCTTTGACGTGGCACCCGCTGCCAAGTCGTCTCCCAAGACGCAGCTCTTTCCGGCCAATTCGGCTCGGAATAATTTGAGCGGGAAAAAGAGCGGCAGTATCGGCCGCAAGCTGGGCAAGTCGCTGCAACGGCCTTCCATGAAAAAGAAGGGGTCGAGTAGTCTGATGAGCAAGAGCAGCGGGCACAAGGAAGATGGTAATAACAGTAGCCCTTCGAGTAGTGGTGCCGAAGATTAAGAGAAAACCACGAGGTCGTTTTGGATTTGGGACGAGAACATAATGTTTTGGATAAAGGGAGCAACGAGCTAGAAGTAGAGGCGCGGAACGGAATTTAATTCGTCTGCCGACATGAGCAGCAAGACGAAACGAAAAAGACACCAGCACTGGTTGAAGGTCCACATGCCGCAAGAGCTCTCCGCTTGGCCGACGAGCTTTTCTACCTTTCCCCCCAAGAAAACTGTTCTTCTTTTTGCTATCTACGATTGTACCTGTTGTAGAAGCCCATGTAAAACACTACTTTAATTAAAATAAAATATAGAGCAATTGCGTTGTCTTCCTATTTAAAATAGCTTGCCAGCTAGCTAGAGGCTCAGTTCCGTGTCTCCTTTCCTTCCGCTGACGAACGTGCATCGGTCCTTGGGGGACAGCCTCGTTTCCTGCCTTGTGCTGCGCCGACGAGGATGCCCTACACGAACACGAGACGGTTTTCCTTCCTTCTGCTGCACAACCAATATTTCGTGGAAAGCTGGAGATGACTCGATTCGGTGCTAAGCCTTGGGAGGGGGCACAGTGAAGTTGGTTGGCCACCAGTGAAGCAAAGCAAACTCGGGAGAGTAACTGTAGAACGAAATTGCGTGGAGTGCTTTTTCCTGGGTACTTGCATCTCCTTCTCTGGATGATGTGGTTATCCATGCATTCGCTACTGGTAGCTAGCCCGAATTGGCCAGGGGTTTCCTAAGCTACGGTAGCTAGCTAGTGTAGTCAAAAGGAGATTTCCAGCCAGCCACTTCCTGAATTAGCTAAGCAAGAGCTGATCTGCCTCCTACGACCGGTACGGCGCTTTGTAGCGATGTCGCCCCCTATCCCTCGCAGCATCCACCGTACCGTATCACATCCTCGTATCAGAGGCTCAGGTCCGCAATAGAAGCAATTTCGTTGGTTTTTTCTTGTAGTCGGCAAGCCACGAGGAGTTGACAAAGGCACCTAGCTAGCTAGCCGAGTTTCAACTTGGATACTAGTAGTCTTTTAACTAGTTACGATGTCATGTACTCCTGTGTCAGGCAGCCATGCAATAGCTCATCCAATCCTGCCCCGCACACTTCCGAGTCTCATCAGGTTCAGCAAGATAAAAGTCGTAGGTACAAAAAGCCCTTCACGCGTTCATGTTCCAGCACCTTCTTGAGCAGGCTTTCATGCTCGGGACAGTTGCATCAACCGAGTTTGCAACACAGCATCCCCGCGGTTTGCATCCACATGGAGCTACATTACCCCATGCATTGGTGATGAGCATTTACAGGCTGCGTTGGCCCAGAGTCTTTTCTCCCCCCACGCCATCATCTTCACCTAGATTTCAAAGGAGAAAAAGCCTTTTGGCTTGCTTTGATGTTCGGCAACATTCCTTTGTTGCTGCCTGGTCTAGCAGCTGGCAAGTGAAGCAACTATGAAGAAAAATCGAAAAGTAGGAGTACCTTGACGACTAGCCAGCTCCTAGCTAGACAGTGTGAATTCGCCAATTCAACTTTGAGCAAACTTGAAGCAGTTGCTTTACAGCCAAACTACAGTGTGGCTCATTAACGACAAGGCATCGGTGCAGTTTCCCTCATATTCTATAGGCAACCTTCTCGTCGTGAAGAACAAGGCAATTCAATCCCTCGCTCGGTCGATGCCAAGACCTTCTTCTTCCAAGCAATTCATCAATCAGCACGAAAGTTTCATGAAGCAGATTCTATTTGTGTTATCTAGTTCTGGCAAAACTACGTTTGAGCAAGAGTGTTGTCGTTTGTGGTTTAGATAGCTCCAGCCGATTTAGACGGGCGCCTCGGAAAGTTCGAGTTTCGCTGACTGCTGGTCGATCTCTTGCTTGATCCTGGGTTGAACTAAAGGATACCGTAGCTGGTTGGACGCAAGCCTCCTCCTTGGTCCTGACTAGCTGAAAGTCGTGGAGAACAATCGAAGCAGTGTTGCTTTCTGACGGCCCCGACCCGCTACTACATGTACAACACAAGAAGGCCCAGACTCGACTCTGACTCGGCGAGAATCGGTCATCTACTCCAGCTAGTATCTCATAAACAGGGTTGGCTACTAGTAGCTAGAGTAGATGTAGCTGGCTACTAGCTACATGTAGCCCATAGCCTGCAGCCCGAAGCCTGCAGCAACATTGTATTGAACCGTTACTGCAATTCGAGGTGGCGGAGCAATGTGCAAGGAACAGCCTCTAAAACAACAATTTTAATCCGATCTACATTGCCAGACCTTGAAGCATCTGACAGCGAGCTTCTTGGTGCGAAACGATTGTAGATCATGTATGTGCTCACCAACCAAAGCTATTACCGTACAATGTGGAGATACTAGTAGCCTCTTTGGCTCTCAGCGACGTACCACCGGGGCTGTGGTACTCTAGCTAGAGTATGGGATAGCTATGGGATGTGGGATGGTTGGTGGTTGGGTCAGATAGACCGCTACCGGTACCGGTTCTAGAGCTAGCGTACTGTGCTAGTACAACATGTACCGGTACTCATGTTCTAGCAGCCCAGTTCATGACATTTCGGTTTTCCGGAACATATTTTCATCTCTGGTTTTCGTGTTTTCTTGTGACTCTGGTCATAGTGTGGTCATAGTTGTTAAACACGAAATTCCTCAAGGTGCCACTGACGTGTTCAATCATTTTAACAGGCACAAAGGAGGTGCACGAAAATGGATTTAGTGAGTCCCACTTTCTACGGTCAGAAAGAACGCAAACAGTGTGGTTTCTAAAAATTTCCTGTAGACTACAGTTGACCCCCCTAAAGATATGGAATCTACCTGGTCTGCTATTCCATTTTGATAGAGTATGTTAGAGCATCATTGGGATTATTATCAGGGCATCATTGGATTGGTATTTTAAAGAATTTTGGATGCAGATCTGAAATCTTGTTGCCCATGAGCGACATCCAATAGTTCATCTAAAGCAAAAAGAAGTTGGTTCATCGATCGACAGCCATGGCCCTCAGATGTTTGGTTGAGTGTGATTCACTAATGCTCCAATGATGCTTCTAAATACAGGTCGAAATGCTACAATGACAATCTAACAATGTCAGCATCGAGCTTCCGCCAATCATGTTCCAACGACGGCAACACTCCTGTTTGGGGGGGGCACTAATTGAGCAGTTACATGACAATATTTAATGCACACACTCGAACCCCTTAAATTTGCATTCTTTGGATTCACCTTTTCAGTACTCCACGAGCAAGTACAGTAGAACGAGATAGAGCTCAAGTTCTCCTTTCTTCTCAATGCAGTGTCTTGAGCTACCGGTAGGGAGGCTTTCTATTGGCATGCACGTAGTGTGGATGTTTTAGTTGCACCCCCGTTTGACCATCTTCCGAAATTCCAAAGGTTCATCCCAAGAACACCATCTCCAATCACCAGCAACGCGGAGGCCGCGAAGGCTCAAATCGCCGTCTTTTTCCAATACCGCGCTGTCTAACCGTCTAACCATGCAACTAACCAAAGAACTACAGGCAAAAACCCATTGTCATCAATAGCCAGATGCATAGCCACACAGTGTCGGGCTCCATAGTCATCCCAGTCTGCAAGTGAATATTGGGGACGGTTTACAAAAGTATACCAGCAGTCGTTCTTGGCGTCGTCAAACAACACAACAACAGGACATTTTTTGCGAGGATTTTTGTTTGAATGATCCGCTCTCTTTCGTTAGACAACCCAATGGCGACAACAATAGTAATCGAGGCAGATCCTGCCATGTCGCTCTCCTCATCGGCGTGTTGGTCGGCAACAGCCCGAAGACGCGATAGCATCAATAGTTGTCATACCACCAAGACCGTGGAAAGCCGCAAGAGACGATCCTGTTCTCCCCTAAGACCACTTCTTTGGGGCAGCAGCAGCAAGTCTTCATCAGGCGAACCACCATCTCCGACCAACAAATCGACCTCATCCTCCAAATCCACGATCAGCGCCAAAAAAAGCCTTGGCAGTAGTATTACCGGATTATTCAACGGCAGTGGCAGTAGTTCCCTTCGAAGAAATGACGATGTGGAGCCGCTTGACCCCACCGAAGCGGCATCCTTGGGGGATAGTGATCGTAGTCTGTTGCTCAATGGGGGAGCAGCAGCTGCTACTGCTGACAAGGGACCAATGGCAAAGCCAAATCCGGGGGCTCAAGTTATTCCACTGGAGTCCGCTCCTCAAACGCAAGAGGCCACTCCCAAACAGACACAGCAAGCTCCCAATCAAGCCGCCTCTGTCGTCCCGTTTCCACCCGAACCAGCTCGCAAACAACAAAAAAGACGAACCAAACCACGGACACCTCAAGAATGGGAAGAATTGGTCGCCACTCATCAGCGCATGACCACCAAACGCCACGTCAAGAAGAAGAAGAAGAAGGAACCACTCACTGGGGCCGTGCTACAGCGTCGTGTGTTAGAACGCAAACAACTAAATGCCAAAATTTTGCGCAACAAGGTGCGATTCTTGGAAGAACCCGAAGAGACCAAAGTGCAGCCCAAGACGGCTCATGTCGTCATGCCCAAGCGCAAATCGTTGCCATCTAGACCCAAACCATCGTTTGACAAGACAGGCATCCGACGACACTGTTCGGCAGACATTTGTTCCAGTAGTGCGGTGGTCAACCCACAAAGAAGGCGAGGAGGAAGGAGACCACAGCAATCACCACCCAAGACTACTGTGGAACCAACCAAAAATGTCGGCTCACCTCCAGCCTCTCCTACAAAGGCTGCTGCTAGCAAACAAAAAGTTGCCCCCTATACAGCTTCCAGCAGCCCCGCAGCGCCATTACGGAGAAGCCACACGAGTGACGGCGTCTACCATCCTCCCAGTAGTCCAGCTGCTTCGGTCGGATCCATCTACCGTCGTCGCCGTCCACCACCACAAGACAGCCTGGATTCTTCTGTCAGAAGTCGTGTCTCCAGAAGGCCATCCTTTCCTTCCAATGGGGGGCGATTTGTCGCGCAGAGCTTGGCCACTCCTGCTCTCTAGCTAGCTAACGAAACAACATCAGTCCGGGTGGGAACAATATAGATGCTGAGCAAATTATAAGACAATAGAAATGGGGATTTGGTCATGAAAACATTCTAGACTTTTTTACTTGAGATAGACCGCCAGCTAGCTAGTACTGTGAAAGTAGTTTGGCTTTCCTCTTTCTACCTTCAGCGCCAGATCTATGATGTGAATTTTATAGCGCACAGAGAATGCAGAGAATTGACTGTTGCAGGCTTTATATTTTAAATTTGGCTTCCTGTTGTGATGCAACCAGCTAGCTACAGTACCGGTAGGTGTGAGTTGATGCTGCACCACCGGCCCTCTTTCTGGCAGCCAATGATGATGTATGATGTAGGACGCTCGAAAGCCGGAACCCACAAGCACACAACTTGGGCTGCAACCACCTTCTGAGCGCAAAGGCGCCAACCTTCCAGTATCGGTAGTTTTCCCACACTGGTTGCCACAGCATCAGGAGCTGAGTTGGCCATGGGACATCGGTTTCGAGGTGAGAAGTGAGACTCAATAAGCTGGCTAAGCTTCTAAACTTGCGAGAGTACTTTGGCAACCAAAAACGGCCTGGGAAACAAGGAGATGAGAAGATGATGATACTACTGTAGCAGAACAACTTCACAATTCACTCTCTTGGCCAGGCGACAGCAAACACAACAACAGCAACAAGATGGGTCAAGGAATATTCAGATCGTCGTACTTCTATGATTTGTCCACTGTGAAGTACACACCCGAACAACGCAATGCCGTGGAGAAGCTGATCAAAACAGAGCCCATGGTCGTCTTCTCAAAAAGTTACTGTCCACACTGTGTGTCGGCGAAGCAACTGCTGGAGTCTCATGATGTGGATACGGCCACCGTGAGAGAAATAAATTACGAGGCAGATGGTTTGGAGACCCAGGCAATCCTATACCAAATCACAGGACAGAAAACAGTCCCCAATATTTTTGTTGGAGGTGGACACATTGGTGGAAATGACCACTTGCACAAGCTTGCCAAGTCTGGTCAGCTGAAAGAAGTGCTGGATCGCCACAAGATTCCAAACAGTTTCCCAAGTCCAAGCCAAATTTTGGGAGATGGCGCGCACCACTAGGAAATCGAAAGGGTTGCAACCCTGTACATGGAACATGGATGAAGGCCATTTACACTAGTTTTCAGGTGGTCTTTTCTCATTTTTCAGCTTTGTGTTACTCTCTAGGTAGAGTTTTATCAAATAAAATTGTTTGTAGTAGATGAGCCAGCCAGTAGACTTATCCTTCAATAGTCTAGCCAAGTCGTCCTGGCTAGCTAGGTAGTCTCATCCTCATCTATTCTTCGCAGGACATGATAATGAGGTACCGGTATGGCAAAAGTGTGTCCACAATGACGATCCGTACCGGTACTCTGTATCGTAGCTCTGGGTGCCAGGGAGCTGGAGCCACCCGGAGGTCCTTTTCAAGATAACCCCCTATTGAGAGAACTGCTAGTACTAGCTAGCTAGTAACTACACAACCACAACCAATTTCATTTCTACGAGTACCGTAGTTCTGGTACGAGATGGTTCTCATCAGCAACGCAAATTTTCGTCTGGATGTCGTCCGGGATCGCGACCCCAACTAACTTTAGCCGCACCGGACTTCAAGAAAGTGAACTCCCCCGACATGAGCGATTGAAAGACTGAAATGTTGTTGCAATCCAAGAGACGCACCATCTTTTTTGTTTCAGCTATAAAAAGACAAAGTCAGCCCACGCGATGGGGCAAGGATTGTGCAAACCTGATGTGTCCGCCGTGGAGGTTACCAGCAATGAGCGACAGGATGTAGAGAAACTGATCAAAACTGAGCCGGTTGTAGTGTTTGTAAAGACCTTCTGTCCGCACTGCTTGTCCACCAAGCAACTTTTGAAATCACACAATGTGGAAATGACGGTCATAGATTTGAATAAAGAAGCAGATGGCCATAAAACTCAAGCTGTATTGTTTGCCATCGCAAAACAGAAAACTGTGCCCAACACTTTTATTGGTGGCGAACACATTGGTGGCAATGACGATTTGCAAAAGCTTGCAAAGCCCGGCCTACTCAAAGAAATTCTGAACCAACATAACATCCCCAACAGTTTCTGAAGCAATTAAATCAAAGAAAAAAATGGTTAATTAGCCCAGATCTAATGGCTTTGAAAATTGAGTACATCGTAGATGTTGAATTGACACGGGTGCTCCTTTTCAGGCCTGGATCATGATTCATTTGTTCAAGATACCGGGACGGTACCGGTATGGTCCGGCGAGTACTGGTATTTACTTGTACGCTGTAGCTTGTAGAACGCTAACATATAGTGGATGTGACAAGTGTTATCTATCAATCCATCCCAGCCTAGCAAGGACTTTTGAAGGGTGGGGGGCGGGATGAAGGGAATAGAATCGTAGCTGTGTGTCGGTCTTCGACAGTCTGAAACACGATGCCGACTATCTCTCTGGATACCATTGAAGATTTGAGAGGTGCCTGGTACCGGTATTACGGTACAGTACAAAACGTAACGTGCCACGATTGAATTTGACGTTGTTACCATGTTGCTTGTCGCTGCGAACTGCTTTCATTGACATCATTTTATTTTAGACAAAAGACGAAGTACAAGTAGTAACTCGCTAGTTTGCACGATGGAAACACTTCGAGACAGAAGCTCTAGCGGAAGTGCTTCATCAGGTGCTAGCTCGCATTCATCTGTGTCGGCTCAATGCGTTCCTGAATTGATAATACACCGGTCTAAGAAGGCTGTAGTTTCAGTGGAAGGGAAATACAACAGTTCAGATCTTTCTGACGAGCTCGCAGCTATTGTCTCAAAGAAAGCCTTTGCTTTTGGTCTGTTAGTTACTGATGAGGATAACAAGGCGGGGGACCGACATGGACAAGCTGGACTAATTCGAGATCCTTCCAAGCCTACCGTGGACGCCTCTCAACCATCTGCGAAGAAACGGAGGCTTATGGACAGCTCTGGCCCGATAAAAAAGCCAGCCATCAAGAAGACTGAGTCTGTGCGCATCTCTGTCATACCCGTCACTGCGCTCCACAACGTGATGAGTTACGATGACACGGTCAGGGATGTCCATTGGACCGCCAGCAACATGGCTACTCTCACGAATGGTGCTATCGACCCCGGAACTGCACAGTTCCCCCAACAAGGTGAGGAGGTCTCCGATTCTGACAAAATCGAGATCAATCTTAAAGATAATGCGGGGAATATTCAAACTATCGAATGGCCTTATGGGTATGACATCACCCATGCCGAAATCCATCGAAAGAAAACACATCCATACGTCGACGCAGCTCTATCCTTTGAATCCGTCGACCCCGGTTTTCAGTATAAAATTGGACAAAGGATTGGTATGGCGGTGTTTCGTAACCATGAGTTTGACTTCAACGACGAAAACCTCTACACGGTCAATGAATGGGACTCAAACCTCTCGCGGGATGATATCATGGAACTGTTTGGAGACGATTACAGCACTTCGATTTACACCGGCCAAATTACTTCTCTGTCGGATGACCGTAAAGTGTTCGGGCACGATATCAATAGCTACAAAGGCTGCTCGGGAGCTATCATATTTCTTTTGGATAAAAACCAAGCGGAGCTCATTAAGAACGATGTTGGTAAAGCTATTGGCATTCATGTTGGTGGCGTCAGCAGTAGTACCGATGGAAAAATCAATATTGCCTTCACCGTACCGGCACGACACCTGTTGAACCGCAATGCTGAAAGCCCTTCCCAGGAACAGATTCAAGCTCGGGCTAGTGCTATAGCCGGTGGCAGGGTTGCACATGTACCCACATGGGAGCAGATCCAAGGCATGGGCCGAAAGGAGCTTAGGGTACGCCTTCAGTACCTGAATCAAGTCCAACATGGATCTGTTGCTGAGCTAAAGGATAGACTAAAGAAACACTATGGACTATAGAGATACATGGATCTATATCTTGCGTCTTAACTAGCTTAACCCTCCTCCTTCTCTCCTCTGGAGCCCCTTCAACTAACCACTCTTACGAGTACCATTCCAAGCAAAAGTAAAAGTAGGAGGTCGAATCCGCACCGTCAAATTCTAGAAGTGCAAAAGGAAAAGTTGGAGGTACGGGAGATCGAATCCCGGGCCTTCCGCATGCAAAGCGGACGCTCTGCCACTGAGCTATACCCCCACTCTGAAAATTCAGTAAGAAAACAAGAATACTAACAAAGAACAAAGGACTGCACAAACATCGGCTCAGGATAGCAAGATCCGACTTTCTAAAGAAATATTAATGAGAGGGTCTAGCTCTCTACCGGTAGAGTAGGGAAGTTATCTACGGTATGGAAGTTGGTGGTCGAAGTGTCCCCGTAGGAGTTTGATTTCCTGCCTTTTCGTGGTTGGACCTGGGAAAAGTGTTGCACAGTCTGACGGTTGCCCCAAAGTATCCATTTCGCTGTTGACGCACTTGACAGATGGCTATAAAAACATCTCAGATGAGATGAAGCCTATGATACAGTAATGAACTTGTTCTATGAATTTAGGGACGCAAAGATATTCGGCCAACGACCCAAGCCAGTTCTATGAATACACACATGTTTTTCTTCCTGTTTTACAACGTCGGTGCTGCTTCTCCAGCTAGTGCCTAGCTCGTGGCTTAAAACTTTTGTTCCGTCTTTGGAGAACCGTCACTTCGATGGACAGCCTCGATAATTATGCGCGGAACCATCGATGTCAGTGACAAGCTCTGTTCGTCACCACCAGATGCTCCAACAGAGGGTTTAGCTGCTGTTGCGACAACGTAGGGCAACAAAGCGTCATAAATCTTACTCCAGGCATCTTGGATTGTTTCGGGCGACGTCACAGCGTGACTAGTCTCCAAGCGAGCTTCAACAGCCCCCTTCGCGTGATCGGGTGCCAGGACCGTGCTTTGAACGGCGTTGCAGGCATCCTGGTCGGTGGCACACACCCATTGAATGGTGCGCCATGCCAAAGCCGAGTGACTGGCTTCTTCCAAGGCGATGGTCGTCATGGCCTCCTTTAGATTGGCGCGTTCCGTTTCCGTGATGGACGCCAAGGCATCTACTTGCTCGTCCACTTCGAGTGCTAACAGCAACGCCGATAGAGTTTCATCGATGCATCCTTCGCGCGCCGTGGCCAATGCGAGTGCCGTCAAATTGTGTTGAAAGGAATGGGATGAAGGTGGCAAGGGACCGGGCTCCACGGGTTGACCGCCCAAAAAGCGAGAAGCCGTCTCGAAGGACACCTTGGCGTGACGCACTTCGTCCGATGCAGCCACTAGAGAGTCCTGAATGAGTGCGGGTGGTGCATTGTTGGCCATGAGCGCCATGGTAAAGGCGGCAAAGGATGATATCGAGGCATGTTCTCCCAGAGCCCGTTGCGCCCATTTCTGCCCCAAGGCTTCTCTCTGCTTATTGTTGTTGTTGTTTTCGTTTTCGTTTTGGTTCTTATCTTGCACTTCACAGGAGCTCCATCCATTTGCAACCTCATCATGGTTCGTGGCTGCTTGAATTTGCTTTCCGTTCTTGTCTAAAAACGGACGCCCTTCTACGGCTCGGTAACAGTCGGAATACGCGAGTTGTGGCAATGATGTGGAATTTTCCGCGTCAATCTCCGTGGTGACAGGGAATGTCAATGCGGCCTTGTAGTGAGTGGTGCAATCGTCCACTGTCTGTTGTTGATTCTCCAATACCACATCGCCCACTCGAATGGCCGGAGCCGATGCCACGACAAGTTCTGTGGAACGGCATCCATCATGAAGAATTTCCACATTGATCTTGCAGACTTTGGTATTTTCAGCAGCCAATTCTCTGTCTTCGTGGTCACCATTATTGTGGGACGTCACCAATACGGCGGCTGAAATGAGAGCCAGTGCAACGACAAGGGAAAATCGTCCTCCTCGATGCCCATCACTCCCCACCATTCCGAGGACAATTGCCGTCAATGTGGTTACAGCCAGCAAGAAGGTAGTTGTCGTTTTGGTTCCGGTCGACGTCTTTTCTTCGACTTTAGTGTACGATCGCTTGGAAGGCACAGAGGCACTTTTGGAAATTCCCGAAAGGTCGTCATCGGGCTCCTGAAATTGGGTGCACCAATACGAAGTGTAGGGCCAAGCGACTGAAAAGGTACTGGCGGGAAGGAAGGACAGATCATCAATATCAATAGTGGCATTATTGCCATTGCTCTTGGTCTCGTTGACATTCATGAAAAAGTTCAGGCCGGTTGTGCGGTCTTCGCTGTTGTACTTTGGATCGACTTGCAATGTTCCGTACTTGGCCTCTAGCTCTTCCTGGGAACAATCGCTCTTGACCACCACTACCAGTTCGTCTTCGTACATGGGCGTCCCTCCGTCCAGGTAAGTGTTATCGTTGTACCGGAGACTGGAGATGGGGAATTCAGAATTGACAACGACATCTTCCCACCAGTCCGCCTGAAAGGTCTCTTGGAAGAGAGTGTGAACGTTCTGCTGTCGATGGACGTCCTTTTCGGGATAGTAAAAGGCAAAGGAAGGAGTTGATTGCAACAGCAGGACTGCCGACGATGCAAGTGGGAAGGATATCTTCATGATTGTTTGTTTTTGTTTTTCGATTGATTTTATGATGTCGTTGCTTTCTTGAAAAAAGAGCCTTGAAAGAAGATGTCTCATTTTCCTTGCATGAACAGCTTCGTCGACTTGGGTCTTGACCAACCGGAACGCTCGCCGAATATCCGTGTTGTCATCCAAACGTTGATGATTTCACTGTGAACTTTTCAGTACGACCGCACCGGTACAATGGTCATCGTTCGTGTGCAAACCTTGCTGCCGTGGGAGTGTGGGAGTGATCACACTTCCACCCCAAACACACGCCCAAGCAAGAAGAGCAACTAACAAGGTTGCTCGTTTGTTGGAAGTCTCGATCGTCCAACCAGCAGGCCCAGTCGGAAGCTGCTCCCAATCATGGAGTTGGTGGGTATCTGGTGGATGGAGGAGTCAGTCAATGTACCTTCTTGCTTGCTGCCTACTAGTATAGTTTTAAAGTTAGCTAGCTATTGTCGAAATGCTGTTTGGAACGATTCATGCCGGAACATGCAATGATATGTTGAATGATACCCTTAGCTGGTGATCACTGGGGGGTTACACATCCATGTGCAGTACATGTATGTATGTGCATAAACTACATGCATGAAGAGTCTCCTGTGTTGTTCCGTGCTCGAATAGCTACACAAAACAGACCTTGTGGCAAGATCTTGTCAGATACTGCTCAGGGTCTTGACTCTTCGTCGATTCGTCGAAGAAAGAATATCTGCAACCAAAGCTTGGCAATCTAGGTAGAAACGAAACTTGCGGATAGTTTGGAGACTAAGATACATGTTACCTACTGTATTTTGATGGGGACTGTATATAGATGAGGAAAGAGATAAAATGCTCTTGAACGATTAGGCAGTCGTCAAAACGGTAGGATGTGGACTGAGTTCTTGTTCATTCAAGATCATGCATTCCAAGCGGCAATGGCTCTAGCTAGGATGATCCCTGTTCTTGTTGATTGATTTTGTAGAGAAGCAAGGCTGCCAAGCGCACAACAGCCTGCTCCATTTGGGACCACTTCTTCCCTTTGTCCAGCTGTATATTTCGCTGGAGACAATTCTTCAGTTGGAACCTAGTTGTGAGACTCATATGCTCAGTGTACGTGGGTGGAGTGCAACATGGTCGCGAACTTCGAGTGAGCATATTGTACTCTCCCATTTGGATCGACCAGAGAGATTGATTTCGTTCCATGCCTGCCAATACGCAAATGGAGCCTTGAGTTTCAACAGTGCCTTCAACTAGAGGAGTCCAGGTGAACTCATTGCCATCCAGATGAAGATGATGGAGTCCATGAATGTCTGGCAAACTGGCTGATAAAGTCTGAATTTGGGACAGGTCAATGCCGCAGTGTTCAGCCTTCAGAATGTCAAGGGTTGCGCTTGCCACAAGGGATTCACAACATGCTGCCATCACTTTGGGGGTAAAGCAATTCCGTGACACATCCAGTTGCAAAAGGGTTTTGTTGTCTGTGGAGAGGCCCGTTTGGAAGAGCATAACCAAAATGTCCTCCGCCAGGCCTGTGCCTCGCAGTCCCAGGATTTCCAGACCCTGGAAGAAGGACATATTGCTGACAAGGAGCAGTGACGAACTCTTTGTGAGAAGAATGCCAGCCAAATTAATCTTTTTGATGGGACAGCCCGGGGCTTCTAATGTCCGAACAAGAGGTAGTATGGGTGCTCCTTTGCCATCATCGTCACCAGGCCGGATCATGCATCGACCTCCATGCTCAATAGGACAATCTCGTCGACGGTCGTCAATATGCCGAGTGCACCGCAGGTCAAGATTGCAGAGGCTGGTGGCACCTTTTTTTTCTGGAAGAACCTAGAGATGTCAGTTTGGAAGTAGTCATTCAAGCCCTCTACCATTATGTTTGGGTATGGTCGGAACGACTGTTGAATAAGTTTGGCACAGAGGTGAATGTGACGACGTTTCTTGTTGGTTTTGTTGTCAGTTTGGAAGGGTGAATCTCCCCATGTCCCAAATGGCCGAAACTCCAAGTGAGTAATCTCATTTGGTGTGTACATCAAGTGATTGTACAGAATATCTGCAGCCAAATCATGATCCAAAGACTCAATGTATAGAGTTTGAATACCGGATTGCAGGATGACGGAGCACAATGCATCAAATCCAGCAGCAATGTCCTTTGTAGTGTTAGCTTCCCAACTTCCCTTCACAGCATTTGGATTTCTTGGTGGGGGCAGTGATCCAGCTCGACCCCACAGAATTTCATGTTGGGAATAAAGTGATAACCATGGCCGATACCGCAACTCCAGCGGACAGGACCTACGGCCACCTCCACAGTCATAAGGATGCCAAGCCCTGATCTGAGCATAGCAACCTCTGGAAGAGTCCCAGCCCAGCTTCAGTCCGGTGCCTTCACCTGCAGGAC